ATATATATATATATATATTGAATAAAACAGATCACTTTAGGTTCCATGTAATAAGTTATTTCACCACAACCCCTTTAACAGGGCTCTGGATCATCAGACTTTACTTCCAAAGGTTGAAATGAAAAATGAAAAGAAATTCACACGTTTTTGACGGACCGCATCAAGCATATGTAAAATTAACGAAGGAGGTAAAGTCTGATGATCCAGAGCCCTGTTAAAGGGGTTGTGGTGAAATAACTTATTACATGGATCTTTAAAGTGGTCTGTTTTAATTCGAACATATAGGCTCTGAATTTTACATTGAGCTCTCCGGATATCATCCTCCTTGGGTCTACCCATGCGGATTACCTAGTTTTGCATAAACTATATATATATATATATATATATATATATAGGCTTCATATTATTTTTACCTCGTTCTTTTCTTTCTTGTGCTATTGTTTATTGTAAATTTTCTGAACTCTGTTTTCCGGATATTTCTGACAATTACATTTGGCCATGCTCAATTACGTTACAGGTTATGAGCCCAAAAATAAATTTTTCCTGGGTGACGAATCCAAATATGAACGATGGAAGTAAAATTTTCGGGATACATGAGAATTAAAAAATATGTAAGGAAGAGACCGAGAAGTGGTCTATCACATTGGTTAGGAAGAAATCCCAGCATGCATTTGTATGATTTGGCTATATTTTTTTTTTTTAGGATACATGAGATGCACATTCAGTTAAGCAAAAATGTCACCGGTGACGCTCAATCGACGAGGTCCAATTCTACCTCGTCACAATTCCCGGCCACATGTTGCCAGGATGACACTGCAGAAGCTTGCGGACTTGGGATACGAAAATTTGCCACACCCACCATATTTCCCCGATCTCTTGCACCCTGACGTTCACTTTCACAAGCATCTTGCCAAAAGACGTTCAGTTGCAAAGAAGATGCAGAAAACTGCATTCCAATATTTCTTGGCGTCCAAATCTTTAGAGGCGTAAATGGCTCGATGGCATGTATAGATATACAGAGGTACTATTTGAACTGATTTAAACAGTGTTTAAAAACATTACTTAAGGAATAAAAGCTGATTGTAAAATCGGGCATTATTTTCCAAAAAGTCTAATACCTCTAACGCAGCTTCAATGACAATGCCCGGCTACATTTTGTCAGGATGACACTTCCTTTGGGATAAGAGACTTTCTTATATCTACCGTATACCTCTGATATCTCAGCCACTGTCTACCATGCATCCTGACAATTTTTACGCCAAAAAACATTCCATTTCAAAGAAGATGCAGTAACTGCGTTGTAAATACAAAGAAAATTTTGTAACCCGATGGCAGAAACGTATACAATGTTCAGGGTTCCTATTTTGACTGATTTAAACATTATTTAAATACATTACTTAAGGAATTGATATGTCCCGGAAAGGGATATATTTGTTCGAGGTAGCTAAGTGGTTTTGGCTACTGTAACCGGGTAGGACAATCTAGCAGGTAGCCGTAATGGACTGGTACTCGTCGTAGACTTAGGCAATACGCGTCGGCAATAGGCGTAGGCCAATAGGCGTAGAGACCCTGTACCTCCACATCGGTCTGTATTTATGGCTAACACCAGACACTCATATTACTGTGTGAGGGAACCCCGGTGTATGCATATTCATTACATCAGGAATAAATGTTGATTCTAAAATCCCGCATTATTTTCTAAACAATTTAATACATCTAACGCAGTTTCATGATAATCGTCGGCCACATGTTGTCAGGATGACAATGCACTTAGGATACGAGACTTTCCTACATCCACCATATTCCTCTAATTTCTTACCGTCCAAACGTTTATCTTAAAGGCATAAATAACCTTGTAACTCGATAGTAGAAATGTATAGATATTCAGTATTTCTATTTTGGCTGGTTTAAACATTGTTTAAATACATTCATTCAAGAATAAATTTTCATTCTAAAATCGGTCATTATTTTCTGTACATTATTTTTTTCAAAGGAAGAACAATCCTTGCTCACATATAAACGTTGATAAGTCGTAAAAAACAAATCAATCAATCCTTGCTTATTTCTTCTTTTTTTTTTTAAATAAAGATTCATTAGTAATTGGCTTATAAACATTTGCAAGTAAGATCTTTTTGTTTATGAAAGTTTCCACATACCTTTGTAGGTCAAAATGTTTTGGTGTGTGATTAAAACGTGCGAGATTCTTAAAGTTCGTACATTACTTCGAAGTGAGGACAGAGCGAAAATCATGTCAAAGGGAAGTGAAAACAGGCGTGAAAAGGTTGCAGACAAACGCGCAATTACGTCCTTTAATAGAAAAAGCCAGGTCGATTTCTGACTGAACTGTTTGGACAAGGAGTTGGTTAAAGGTCTTCTACTTACATCTTTCATTTATTTGTTTGTTTACTTTGTTATATCTCTCGATGTGTCCGTAAACGCCCGAGACAAGCGACAATAGCTCAAGTCGGCTCCTATACGATATTAGACACCTATCTCATAACTACTGCCACGTCTGTATGAAAGTGTGTGTTTGTACAATGGTGCTTATAGATGCCGAGAGAGAGAGAGAGAGAGAAAGAGAGAGAGAGAGAGAGAGAGAGAGAGAGAGAGAGAGAGAGAGAGATGGACGCGTTCTGATTTTTTCGAATTGTGAGACACGTTTTAAAAAAAGAAATGATATATGAAGCCAGCCGATCAATAAGATCAATTTATAATCATCTGTAAAGAGAAGGGTCTGGAAGTTGTTTGAGTCACGTGGTTATGCCGCGTGATATTTTGTTGACCTTAAGAGAAGCAGATGTCGAATGATATTTACATCTTCATTTCATTCAAAGTTTCTTTTTTTTCCAGGTGTATCATTTTTCATATTGAACTCTTCGGTAAGCGGCTTTTACGTCATCTTTTATCTTTAATGTCGGTTTCGTTTCGTTTATCAACCCCGCTTTTAAGCCTCCATTTTCTTTTTTTTTTTTTTTTGTTCCGGTCCCATCTTTTCTTACCTCGTAGCCATCTTTTTTTTTTCTTTGATATTGTCTTTCTCACTTTTATCTTCAAAAAGATGAATTTTTGGTTGGTGATTTAGACGTTAATTTTCTTGTCGTTCTGACAATTATTTTTTCTTTCGGCATAAATCAATATCGGAAGCAAAAAACAAAAAAAAAAAAAAATCAAAAAACACTTTACAAGGAATTTAAAACAAAAAGAAAATGGCAAAGAAAAAATGGTCGATGTAATACAATAATGAAAATCATAAAAGAAGAAAAATTCAATTATATACTGGATTAGAAGCAAAATCGTAGCATCTGGTGGCTTTTGACCACGTGATTTCACACCTGCCGTTTATCAGTCAGTTACTGTGCTATGCATGACACATGTTTAGGCGATCATGTATCTTTCGATACACGACTGACGAGATAGATTTCTTCCCCGCAATAGGTTGCCATTTCTTGCTATCCAAAGCTATAGAACCCAGTCGGTCCTGCTATTTACCCATAACTGGTGGGAGGTGGGAGAGAAGTAGATGATTAATACGTTTTCCAGTGATATTAACACTTAAGTGAATGTAATTGATTCGACTGGAATTCGAACTCGGCTCTTCGATTCCTCTACCCCTTATTCCACCGTGTCTCCCACTTGATATATATACATATTTGTCAACTTTCCTGAATACATATACTGAAAGTTGACAATTCAGAAAGTTCTTTTATGCAATTCGTGTGCGTAATTTACTTTTTAATGTTTTTGCTGTAAAATTGAAAATCGAGGAAAATGAAATGGTCATCTGCGCTCTTTTACTTCGAAAGAGGAAAAACGTCACAGAAATAGCAAAAAAGATATGTGCCGTTTATGGGGATGGTATCATAGCTGAGTGTAATGTTCGCAAGCGGCCCACTAGGCTCAGAATTGGGAATACTGGTTTAGAAAACACAAAACGTTCAAGTAGACCTGTAATCGTTGATATAGACTAAATTGAAATGCTGGTTAAAACTAATGCAGCTCACACGGAACATCGCAGAGAAACTCTACGCATATCATATGAGCGTTGTACGCTATTTGAAAATATTTGGATTCGGGTAGCGCTACGATGTTTGGGTTGCTTCACGACTTAAACATAAAAAGTGAAAAGTCCGCAGTTCAATTTACTATTCTCTGCTCAAATGCAACAACATTTTAAAGAATGATCACAGGCGTTGAAAAATGGTTTGTTTACAACAATGTGGAGTGAAAAAGGTCCCGGAGAAAAAGTTTTGTTTAATTCCTAGGTTTTCGAGAATTAAAAAAAAAACATGTCTACGTATTAATAACCTCCACAACATTTGCACAATGAAATGGCTAACAGGTTATCCAACTGGCCTATAACTAGAGTTCGCTTCAAAATAACAGAAAACATAATGTTAAAAAAAAGTATCAGCTACGAACATGGCCATAATATACTAGCTGTGTTCGGGAACTTGAAACATGCCTACGTATCAGTAACCTACTTGTCATTTTCAACCTCATAACCAAAACATTTGAAAATAGTTAATAGATAAAAAAGTAGCAATAATATCTTGAATTGTTATTAGATCAAGCATTGTCAACTATCATTAAGTTTTACTAGTATTTCTTTCATCGTCATTTCAATTGCATTGTTAACTATGTTATATAGATTAAACAAAAGCATTTGAAAAAGTCCTTCGCAAAAAAAAAAACCAAAAAAAAAAACCCCTAAAAATGTTGGAACTGCTAGTTAACCATGCCATATTTGGGAATGATGTTAGAATAATACAGCATTTATACTGAGACCAAACGGATACAAAATGAATCCAGTTAATATACAAAATCTCACTGGAATTATACTACCTATACAGAGAGGCGATGCTGAGAGAATCAGAAGTCCTAACAGAATTCGTTATTGGCCGCCACAATCTTAACAACATAAGATATGCAAATGACACAGTGTTGATAGCAGACGCAGAAAGCAAACTACAAGAACCCCATACAAAAGGTAGTGAAAGAAAGCAAGAAAAAAGAACTAAACATCAGTTGCAAGAAGACAAAATATATGGTGATCAGCAAACGGAACAGCCCAATATGAAAATTCAAATTTGGAGTTACTAAAATCAAGCAAGTATAAAAATTTAAATATCTGGGAAATGTTTTAACAGAGGATGAATAGAACGAGAGCGAAATCTAAAGGCGCATTGGGATAGCGAAAGTTGCCTTCCAAAAGCTAAGCAAAGTATTAAGAAACAGGAAAAATTTGTTAAAAGCAAAGAGAAATGAGCTGATACGTAATATCAATCCTCCTATATGACAATAAATGTGGACAGTCTCCTCACAGATGAAGAGACTTGAATTAACAGATATGTGGTTCTACAGCAGGATGCTGAGCATACCATGTGAGCAAGGACGAAGTTTTAGAGAAAATGGAAACAAAAAGGACACTTATAATTAGCATCATAAAGAGACAATTTGAATTTTTGTAGCACATTATGAGGAAAGAGAGCTTGGAAAATTTGACACTCAGAGTATACTGAAGGCAAGAGAGACAGAGGGAAACAACGCATAACCTACCTAGAGAGCTTGAATGGCAAAATAGCAAAAAATCATCGTTTGCTAAGAGTTACAAAGAATAGGAAATTGTGGAGAGCTACGATCCGCAACGCCCTGTATAAGAATAACCTTGAGTTCTTATTATATGAGGCATTGTTAACAATTATTAATAGCCGTCTTGTCAAAATGACGCAATTTGAAAAACCAATGTTAATTGCTTCTCCAAATCTCCATTTGTCCATCTTTACTCTCGAACCAATATTAACATAAATCTCATAAAATGTTCTGACCCTTCACCATATTAATTCAATCATTTTACCCTTTTAATATCGGTGTGACACTAACCTTATTAGTAGAACGGGTTTGCATCCCTTATTCTATGACTGCTCTATGTTCGATTATGGCGTTTCGGTTATGGAATTAAGAATTAATCAGCATTCATCAGCCAATATTCGGAAAGAATATTTGGATAATTTGCATAGATGCGTCAATACATCTGGGTCGGTGATAGCTGACATGAAGTGGAAAGAGTATATTGAATCAATTGCTAAGTCTGCTGCTAGAAAAATCAGTACATTGTGTCGTTCTGGACAATGTTTAACGCCAGAATCTATCTTGCCCGCTTATAAGTCTACGGTTCCTTTTGCTATGTATCTCGATACTCTTGACAAAATCCAAATAAGAATCTGTAATGTTATCGATCCGGACCTGGCATCTCGGTTTCATTCACTTCCCCACCACCGTAACGTAGTTTACCTGTACCTTTTCTATAAATATTTTCAAGGCAATGGCTGTGATGAGCTTTCCCCTTTGGTACCTCGACTTCATGAATTTAAATGCAGTATTGGATTGGCAGTTAGGTCTCATCATTTTACTGTTGCTAGATGTAACCGTAAGTTTTATTCTGATAGTTTTTGCTCACGCTTGTGGAATTGTCTTCCGGTATCTTGATTTATTGTTAAGTGCCATACGTGATACAAGGTTAGATTCATGACTGACTAAGTAGAGAATTTTCCCGCAGTAGGTTGCTATTTCTTTCTGTGGTAGAATGGTTGTCAACTGAGGCTCTAAAACCCAATCTGCCCTACAATTTAACCCATATTCATACATATCCCAAGGGTATTTGCGCGTAAATGAATGTAACAAACGCGGCAGGAAGATGGCTGAATATCAAGCGTTTCGAAAATATATGAACTGAAGCAATCAAGAATACATCAAACTTTGTTGCATATGTGTCGGCTTCTTGATTTACTATCAAGTACCATGCGCGATTTCGACTTGGGCGATCATGTCTCTTTCGATTTATGACTGTCTGCCATGCAATTTAACCAATAGTTTGGGGAGATGGATTAATACCTTTTCCAAATGTATTTGAGTGCAAGTGATTGTAACTACCACGACTGGAATTCGAACTCAGTTCTCCGATTTCTCAATCCGAGCCGATATCCATTACAACAGAAGACAGGTCCGATCGTAGTTGGCATGCTGTCAACTACGATATTTAAAAAATGAATTGCAAACGTCAATCATCATAATCTGTCTCTTCGGACCCTGTTTTTTTATTGTCGTTTCTTCACAAGACTCTTTTCCTCAGATACTTTCCTGTTCATCTTAGTGGCTTTATTGCCTTGCTTGGAGTTAAACGATAAACAACAACAACAACAAGAGCGATATAAACATAGCTGATAAAGAAGCCTTTAGTTATTATTGTCTAACAATGCGAGTGCATGTATTATCAGAACGTTGAGACACCGGTTCTCGTACGAAGTTAAGCAACGTCGAGTCTGGTCAGTACGGAGATGGGTGACCATTTGGAAATATCCCGTAGGTGGATGTTGGTAGAATAAAGGATAATAACCCAGAAATATTGAATCGCATAGGCGAGTTCCGATTGGTATCGTTATATTCACTTAAGTGCAAATGCTCTCCACCCCTTAGGTATGGATTAAATAGTAAGACTTGTATCATTAAATAAGAAATTTGATTCACTATTGTACTAAATAATTTTAGCACAGCAGAATCTATTTGCATATTTATATATATATATATATATATATATATATATATATATATATATATATATATATATATATATATATATATATATATATATATATATATATATATATATATATATATATATATATATATATATAAGTTGGAAAGAATAGTAAGATTTACAAGTATATGTATCAAGATATTCTAGACAAAATCCAAAGAAGAATCCGCAATATTATCGGCCCTAACTTGGCATCACGGTTTCGGTTCTAGGAACATTCGCCGTAAACGTTTTTGCCGTAGGAAAACTTGCTTCAGGTGTTTTAGCTGTAGAAAACTTTGCTATATAGGATTTTTGCCGTAAGACAATTTCGCCACATTTTTTCAAATATACGAAGTACCTTGTTATCGAGTATATCCAGCTCACACTATTGTTACTTTGATTTAAACATTTTAATAAGCAAAGTTATAGGATCAAAATCCATCATTCATCCTCGTCAGTGAGAAGCGCAAAAATTTCAACTTGACACCAGAACCTACGTCACACAATTTCATATTTCAGACTTAACATTAAACTTTGTTAACATAACATCAGTCTGCCAATAATTCTCACTCAAGCAATATATATTATTTCAAACAAAGTTACAACTTGAATACGCAACCAACTTCAATATAAAATATCTGATCAAAGAATGATGTCTGGCCCTGTAAAAAAAGACATCCATATATACTTGATAACAAGTTATTTCGCATATTAAATTGAATATAACTCAAAAAGGGACATACAAGTTAAGGGTATCGAAAAAAAAAAATGCGGCAGAATTGACTTATGTCAAAAATCCGATACGGTGAAGTTTCTTACGGCGAATATTCCTGAGGCGACCTTTCCTACGGCAAAAATGTTTACGGTGAATGTTTCGGATACGCACCGTTTCATTCCCATTCCCAACACTGTAACGTAGGTTGCCTGTAGCTTTTCCATTTAATATTTTCTTGGCAATGGTTCTGATAAGCTTTCCTCTTTCCTCTCGAAAAATATTCTTACAATAAAAACATTCTGGCTTTAAATAACCAGGAAAGCATGGATAAATTGGAGAAAATATATGAATGAATCAATCAAAGCATACATCATCAAAAGATGGAAAACTATGAAAGTGAACATCGAAAAATTGAGTGACAGAAGGAATAAAGGAAGAAATAGAAAACCGAGAATAGGAAAGAGAAATGGTGGAAAGAGAATATAAGATAACGGAAAAAAATGAATGTATGTAAAGCAGAAAGCAAGATTTTAAAGCATAAAGAAAGGGGACTTTGAGGTGTAATGGTTAATAAGCTTGTCTCGCTAGAACAACAACGACTGAGTAGTGAGTTTGATCCTCACTATGTGTCCTACACTTTCGGCCTTGTGTCACATATGAGCTAAGGTTGGAAAATCACTATAAACCACAAAGAAAAGACGGAGAAAAGGAAAAAGAAAGAAAGAAAGAGCGAACGAAGAAGAAAGACGGGGAGAATAAGAATGAAAGAAAGAAAAAAAAATGAAAAAGAAAGAAAGAAGAAAAAGAAAGAAAGACGGAAGGAATAAGAAAGAAAGCAAAAAACGAAAGAAAGAAAGAAGGAAAGAAGAGAAAAAAGAAAATAAGACGGATGGAATAAGAAAGAAAGAAAGATGTTATGAAGGAAGAAAAAAGGAAAGAGACGAAGGAAATAAAAGGTGGAGGAAGGAAATAGATGAAAGAAAGAAAGAAAGAAAAAAGAAGTGAAGAAAAAAGAAGGGAAAGAGATAAAGAAAGAACGAAGAAAAATAAAGAAAAATGAAGAAGAAATATAAGCAAGAAAGAAAAAAGAAAGAATGAAGGTAAGAAAAAGATGGAAAGAAAAAAGAAAAGAGACGAAGGAAGGAAAAGATGAAGAAAGGAAGAGATGAAAGAAGGCAAGAGATGAAGAAAAGAAAGAAGGGAAAGACATAAGAAAGAAAGAAAGAAAGAAAGAAAGAAAGAAAGAAAGAATAAAAAATGAAGAAGGGATGAAAGTAAGAAAGAAAAAGAAAGAAAGAATGAAGGCAAGAAAAAGAAGAAAAAACGAAAGAGACGAATGAAGGAAAAAGATGAAGAAAGGAAAGAGATGAAGAAAGGAAACGACGAAATAGAAGGAAGTAAAGAAAGAAGAAAGGAGGGAAAGAGATAAAGAAGGAAAGAAAGAAGAAAAATAAAGAAAAATGAAGAAGGAATGAAAGCAAGTAAGAAAGAAAAACACAGTAGGAATGAACGCAAGAAAAACGTGCAAAGAAAAAGGAAAGAGATGAAGGAAGGAAAGAGATGAAGGGAGGAAAGAGACAAAGAAAGGAAAGAGATGAAGGAAGGAAAGAGACAAAGAAAGGAAAGAGACGAAGAAAGCAAAGAGATGAAGGAAGGAAAGAGATGATGGAAAGGGCAAAAAAGAAGGAAGTAAAGAAAGAATGAAAAGAGATAAAGAAGGGAAGAAAGAAGAAAAATAAAGAAAAATGAAGAAGGAATGAAAGCAAGAAAGAAAGAAAAACAAAGAAGGAATCAATGCAAGAAAAAGAAACTTATAATAAACGAAAGTTAAAAGAAAGAAAGATGAAAGAAAAGATAGTGTAAAAATGGTGATAACATAAAAGAATAAAAAAGTCAACTGGACACAAGTACGATGCATTTAATAAGGATCGAACTGTTCAATAGTAAAGGTCAACTTCATCAATTCGCTAGCCTTTACCCATCCCTGTGACGCACCTTTTTACCGACAGTTGTTACTTTACTTTTTATTTATTCGGTCAAGCTATCCCGGACATTCCTGAGTTCACTCCAACCATCATGGTCCTGTATCAAGGTCGGAAGGTCATTAAGGTAGCATTCTGTGTCATAACATAGTTGGTTAAATGTAGGTAGTCGCTGGGTGACCAACCCATCTTGCTCCATGACTAAATATCAGAACAGCAGATCACTTGCGAGTTCTTGTTTTGCTCGTTAGCAGTGTCCCGAAAAACGCATTATACTTTCACGTAAGATTGTAGAAAACACCAGGGATGGTTCCATAGAGCAGTGATTTAGTTGGATGTTGTCTCCAAGAGATGTTAAATATAGCTAAGTGTAGGTTGCATCAAACTTAGACTCTAGGGTTTTAGCTAATGTCCAGAGAGTGGTACCATGCATTACTACCTCTATAGTGGCTCGAAAGAATCTCCGTTTGAGGTTGTCTGATCAGATTTCCAGTCTACATCCATTTTATTCAAGACGGTGCAGGCTTCAGCTATGCGAATTTCCACGTCCTTTTCGTTAGAATTTATCTCGTTTCCTAGATATGTAAAAGATTTGATATAACTTATCGATTGACCTGGGAGAGTTTGTTTTGAATCTTGCTGATTGAAGCTTATGAATTCAGTTTTAGAGACACTGATATGGAGAGTCCAAAATCATTGTTGGTATTTTGTAAATGATATTGATTATACTGATGACTTATCTATCATTGCAGACACCATTACCAATGCCACAGTTCATCATCTAGAAAATGCTGAGACGCATAACGAGGAAAAAGGATTTAGAGAGTTTGGCATTTTGATGAATTACTGAACGTAAGAGTACCAGAATGTAGTCGGTTAGCAACCTATGTAATATGACTAACATAGGTTAGCAACCTATGTAATATGACTAACATAGGTTAGCAACCTATGTAATATGACTGTGTAAATGGATGGCAAAACGGTGTCTTGGAGGAATAGTAAAAAAAGAAAATAATGCTAATGAAATCGTGCCATAATTGCCAACATTCTGGAAGGGTGCGGCATATAAAGGACAATGACACTTCTCTTTCTGAGTTTTATTTTTTTTTTTTAATAGTAAAATCATGTTGCTAAATCAGAGAACAATTCTCTTCTTCTGTTTGCCGTATCCCATCAGGACGTGGATGATCATGGCTCTCCACAACCTACTACCAATAATGGCATCTCAAATTTCCAGGAACCGGTACTATAAAGGCAGGTAATCTTTAGGAACCTATTCTGCTAAGTTTCTTTTCAATCTGAGGATGGAAACAAATCACTTTACAGTATCAAAAAGAATTAAACCATTTTGATAGTTAAACAGAAAACATTTATTTATTAAGATATTTCCAGATTGAAATTCTATTCCGTAGAGAAGTATGATAATTTTTAACTCCAGTGTCATCAATTGGTTTCTTAGCCACATTTGAACTGAATTGCTGCAGTCCCAAAGATTCAGTGGAAGACCTATAAAATTTATGACTAGAAGATTAGCCTCATTTTTAATTCAATCCGATATCTTATAATAAATTGTCAGAATAAATTATGTTAATCACAGAAAACCCTCTTACAGCCCCTACAGAACTTACAGCAATGGTATTAGCTATTATATATCGGCTATTAATATATAAAATTATTTTCGGATAAGCCAACAACCTGTTCGCTAATCTTTTATAATTTTAAGAATCGGTTCGCGCGAACCGGTACGAAACCATCACTGCCTTCTGTCCTTTGTAGGTCTCAGGAAAGTTTGTCTTTTTCCTCCCAATCACTGTTCTGCCAACAATTTACTAAAGTTCGTTAGGTAGGTTATTAACTACTTTCCTCTATCTCTCTTGCCTTCTCTGTATCCTGTGAGTGTCAAATATTCCAAGCCTGCTTTCTTCAGTATGCGCCCTTGACATTTCAACTGTCTCTTTCTGATTCTAAGTGTTCTTTTTGTCATCATTTTCTCTAAAATTTCTTCGTTCACGTGTTCAGTCTATGGTATTCTCAGCATCCTTCTGTAGAACCACATTTCTGTTGCCTCAAGTCTGTCCAGCATTCATTCCCATATGGGAGGACCGATATTACATTGCTATTTTTTAACGAAATTTTCTTGTTTCTGAATAATTTGATTAGTATTCGCTATTCCAATACTCCTTCGGATTTCACTGTCATACTTTCCGTCCTCTGCTAAAACACTTTCCAGATATTTTCTGTTTCTTGATATTTTGCTTAGCTTTTGGAAGGAATCTTTCGCTATTCCAATTCGCCTTCGGATTTCACTGTCACACTTTCTGTCCTTTGTTAAAACACTTTCCAGATATTTTCCTGTTTCTTAATACTTTGCTTAACTTTTGGAAAGCATCTTTCGCTATTTTAATGCGCCTTCGGATTACGATGTCATATTTGCCGCCGTCTTCCTAGATATTTATATTTTTGTAATTGCTTGATTTTGGTGTCGCCAGTTCGTATATTTTATCTTTCATTTTCAACGTCCTGAGAGTGTTAAAATTTCCAAACCCTCTTTCCTCGTTATGTGCCTTAAAAATTTCAATTGTCTCTTTCTCATTCTAAACATATGTGTCCTTTTTGTTTCCATTTTCTTTAAACTTCGGCATGTTCAGTCCATGGTATTCTCAGCATCCTTCTGTAGAACTACATTTCAAGCTTCATCTTCATATGTAAGGGGATTGTCCCGCATTCAATGCCATATAGGAAAACCAATATTACATCACAGTACAATATTTTTTTCATTGTTTCTTACGGAATTTTCCTGTTTCTTGTTACTTTGCTTAACTTTTGAAAGCCATCTCTCGCTATCCCAATGCGCCTTCGGATTTCAGTGTCACACTTTCCGTCGTCTGTTGAAAAACTTCCCAGATATTTTTCTGTTTCTTAATACTTTGCTTAGCTTTTGGAAGACAACTTTCGCTATTCCAGTGCGCCTTCGGATTTCAGTGTCACACATTCGGTCCTGTGTTAAAACACTTCCTAGATATTTAAAGTTGTGTACTTGTTTGATTTTGACGTCTCTATTTTGTAGTTCGCATGTTGGGCTGTCCCTTTTACTGACAACCATAGATTCTGTCTTCTTATATCTTGATGTTAGTCCTTTTATCTTACTTTGTTTTACTTATTAATCAGTTATACTTCCTTTTTTTTATGAGCTCGTTGGAATTCTTTACAAACTTCCTCATGTCTATAAGTTTGCGTGTGTATGTATGCGCGTGGGCAAACGTACCTTGCTGTCCTTATCCGTAAACTCACGTCAACATTCCCCTTGACCCGGAGTCAAAGTCATAAAGTTCATAGGTTTTTCTTAATAATAGTCTCCGAAATTCGGATGTGTTGAAGAAAATTAAAAAAAAGTTAATGTTCTCGATTTAATAAAGAAAAATAAAAACGTGCGCTGAAGTTACTACGATTTACGTGAATAAGAAATCTTTTATCAGTCACATAACATGAAAACAGAAAGATAACAATAAGAAACACGAAAAAGCGCTGAGGGACTACGATCCACATCGTTACTTCATGCTAAGCCGAAAAGAGGACCAAGAAACTATATTATTTTTTATGCTGATGCAATATAGAGGGTTACTGCATGGTAAACCTCTATATGAGCTTATATGAGTATGAGCTTAATAAAACCCAAAAAGTTCATGTGGCTATGCAGAAATGATAACATGCTGGTTCGAATAGCAAAGGATATAATAATGATAATAACATAACATGAAAACATAGAGATAACAATAACAAACATGAATAGCAAAGTATATAATAATGATAATTCCTCATCTCAAAAATACTGATAAAGATTATTAAATCGGTACGAGTCGAAACATTGTGATTATAACAACCAAGATGAAGATGCTGGTCTGAATAGCAAAGTATATAATAATGATAATTCCTCATCTCAAAAATACTGATAAAGATTATTAAATCGGTACGAGTCGAAACATTGTGATTATAACAACCAAGATGAAGATGCTGGTCTGAATAGCAAAGTATATAATAATGATAATTCCTCATCTCAAAAATACTGATAAAGATTATTAAATCGGTACGAGCCGAAATGTTGTGATTATAACAACCAAGATGAAGATGCTGGTCTGAATAGCAAAGTATATAATAATGATAATTCCTCATCTCAAAAATACTGATAAAGATTATTAAATCGGTACGAGTCGAAATTTTGTGATTATAACAACCAAGATGAAGATGCTGGTCTGAATTGCAAAGTATATAATAATGATAATTCCTCATCTCAAAAATACTGATAAAGATTATTAAATCGGTACGAGTCGAAAACATTGTGATTATAACAACCAAGATGAAGATGCTGGTCTGAATAGCAAAGTATATAATAATGATAATTCCTCATCTCAAAAATACTGATAAAGATTATTAAATCGGTACGAGCCGAAACGTTGTGATTATAACAACCAAGATGAAGATGGTGGTCTGAATAGCAAAGTATATAATAATGATAATTCCTCATCTCAAAAATACTGATAAAGATTATTAAATCGGTACGAGTCGAAACATTGTGAGTATAACAACCAAGATGAAGATGCTGGTCTGAATAGCAAAGTATATAATAATGATAATTCCTCATCTCAAAAATACTGATAAAGATTATTAAATCGGTACGAGTCGAAACATTGTGATTATAACAACCAAGATGAAGATGCTGGTCTGAATAGCAAAGTATATAATAATGATAATTCCTCATCTCAAAAAAATACTGATAAAGATTATTAAATCGGTAATGAGCCGAAATGTTGTGATTATAACAACCAAGATG